TGTGTGTCTTTCTCCCCCTTTTCATGCTGAATGCTAAAAACAATATTTTTTAAAAGCAAAAATAAACCAGTACATTTTAAATCTGAATATACCCAGTTGGCATATTATAGAATGGACGTTACTCACTTAGCAGCCTAATAACCTATGATTATACCCTTTACCTAACTGATTCTTTTTTCTTGAAAAAACTCATTCTTGATCCTTCCCACCATATATCCGAATTTGATCTATAGACACTGGCCAAGTTACATTTGAAACTAAGAGTTAGCTGCCCCTGGCCATGGCACATATAACCTCAACCGAGTCCATGTTTTCAGTGATTCCAAGGTAAAGTGCAGGTTCATACTAGAACCAATTCTCTTCAAACAAGATTTGGGAAAGATCTGGTTTCATCAAAAAACATGACTCACTTAAAATTGGACCTGTGATAGCTCTGAGTTGATTAGTAGGTCAATATTTAAGATGTGACACAGTGAGCAGTGAAAATTAACCCCCACGTAAAGACAGTGAAATGAAAAGGTACACAGGTAATATCTGTCGAGGATGACAGGAGAGAGGGAGCTTGTTATTTTAACCCTGCCCAAACAGAATCGCTCCGAGGAGCGCTCTCCCTCAATAAAGAGAATGATTTTCTTTCTCAGACATCTCTGCATGATTCATTTCCATAGACCTATCATTTTACAGACTGACAATAAGCCAAGCACATGACTTCTAAAAAGAGTTCTTATTATCCAAAACTGAGAAAACACCATGATTACCTCTGGGCCAAGCTCAGCAGACAGTGAGTCACCCTGAATAAACACCTGTGTTTGAACATGCAGGTAGGGACCTCAGAGGCCTCTGCAACCCTCACCTGTGCCCTCTGCATGGGAGCCGCTCGATTCAGTTGTCAAGTCTCAAATTCTGCCTATATTTTTTATATATTTTTTAATTTCTTTATTGATTAAGTTATTACATATGTGTCCTTATCCCCACATTACCCCCCATCCCCCCCACTCATGCCCTCACCCCCCTGTTGTCTGTGTTCATTGGTTAGGCCTATATGCTTGCATATAAGTCCTTTGGTTGATCTTATATTTAAACTCACCTAATCTGGGTGATGTTTATAGCTTTGCACTATCTAATAAGAGAGCTTGTTATTCAAATTAACACTTTTGAAAAACAAGATGATTTTTTTACTTAAGAAAACAAGCTGTTTTTACATCTTTAGCAAACAACTGTGGATGCTGCCAACTATAAATTAGTACTCCTCTCATGAAAACAGAGTTCTATTTTAGAAACATTATTCCCAATTATCACATGTAGCTAAAAGTAATAAGAGCATTTCTCTTTGATTTTTCAAAAACTCTTATTTTTCCAATTAATCCTAATTTACAAAACTTCCAGTGAATGGATTATGCAATAATCAACTACAAATCAAGAATCCATTTGGCAAATATCAAAGAGCTTAATCAAGTAAGATCAACAAAAAATGTTATTCAATTTTATCATCATCAGAATGCCTGGTAATTTTTTTTTTACCTGCTAATTTTCATTTCAACTTTATAAATATTTAATAAGAATCCAGTGCTGCACTTGAGAAATCAAAGAAATACAAAGTAGAGTCTCTGCTCTCAAGGATTTTCCATCTTACTAGCATTTGTACACTTATGAAGCAGGTCAGAGCGTTAGTCTTTGGAAAGGACTTACACTGAATAATTCCCCTCCGAACTGTGATTCTAAGTTGATAACCCTTAGCAAGAAAGTATGGAAGAAGAACGATTAAGAAATAAACACTCTTACTTAAAATTAAGTTAGCACGTAAGGTACTAGCCTGTCGTAGGCAGCAATCATGAAGTTGAGGAGGAGGCTGATGGACTGCTCCACACTGATCTGGTGAGTAGAAGGCAGGCGCTTGTTCAGCTGGTAGTAGATGGACGAGATGACAGTTTCGAGGCGGGACACACTGATCTCAGTGCTATGGTCCAGTGTATTAAGGCCATTGTCTCGGAAGGCTTCGATCATGTTCCAGATATCAACGAGATGGACTGAAACACAAAGAAAATAAACTATCAGCAACATAAAGTTTTAATTAATCAGAAAGACATACAAACTTTTACATATAATAGGTCAGTGAAGGGTGGCAGAATATGCCACCCCCAAATGCCACTTTGGCATAAGCATCCTTTTGAGCTAAAGGTACTTGAAAAAAGGCAGGGCCAAAAAGGGCACTTTGAGCCCCACCTTTTCTCCCTGACAGCCGGAAATAAAACTCGCAGGTGAAAGATGCCTTTCTTATTCCAAGGGGAAAAAAACACTATAATCACAGAGACAGTGGATTGAGGCCAAAATTAATCCGTACAGACTTGTTAACATAACTCTTATCTTCCCTTTGTCTCCCCATATACACATTTTAGTTCCTTTTCCACAATTGCTACTCTTTGCGCAACCTAGTGTATAAGCACGTAGACCTCGTCACTTCTTTGGGTCTTCATTTTCCCATGGGGCCCCCGTGCACGTGTAAAAATGTGTATGTTTTTCTCCTGCTAATCTGTCTTGTGTCAATTTAATTCTCAGGCCCAACCAGAGATCCTGAGAGAGTAGCCGTGAAGTACTGACTCCTCCACAGTAGCCTCAAAAATATAGAATGCAAAATTTAACTGAACGTCAAAGAGAAAAATTCAACAAGCTTTGAGGGAAATATTAACACACCTCTCTTCGTGAGAGAGCAAACAGACAAAAAGTAAGTACAGATAGAAAATTAAACTTTACAACAACAAAGTAGTAGTAATGAACATTATAGGAAGTATTGTCCCGATGATTAAAAAACATGCTTTATTTTCTAGAAAACACAAAAGACATGTATAGAAATTGACCTTATCTGAGTTATAAAACTAATTTCAACAAACTTCAAAGGATATAAATCATGTTCTCTGACCAAAATAAAACTAAGTTAGAAATCATTATCAAAAAGACAACTTTTTAAATTAACCTTATCTTTAGAAAGGAAGCAACACACTAGGGAACTTCCTTCATCTTATTAAGGGTATCTATAAAACACTGCATCATACATATTACTTGATAGTAAAAGGCTGAAAGCCTTTCCTCTGATGTTGGGAAGGAGATAAGAAACGCCCACTATTGCCCTGGTCGGTGTGGTTCAGTTGGTTGAAGCATCGCCCCATATATCAGAAGGTGGCAGGTTTGATCCCCGGTCAGGGCACATGCGGGAGGCAACCAATCAATGTTTCTCTCTCACATTAATGTTTCTCTTTTTTTGTCTCTCCCTCTCCCTTTCTCTCTCTAAAATCAATTTTAAAAATTGAAATTAAAAAAAGAAAGAAATGCCCACTATCATCATTTCTATTGTACTTCAGGTCCTAAGAATGTAAAGATGCAGTAATTATTGGTATAAATATTGGAAATAAAGAAATATAACTGTGATTATTCAGAAATGACTAAATTAGACACATAGAAAATAAAAAAGATTCTATGGATAAATTATTAAATTTAATATTTGAGTTCAGAACAATTGCTAGACATAGATCAAGATATAAAAGTCATTGTATTTCTATGTATCAATAACAGACAATGAAATTTTAGAAGTATCATAAGTTATCAAAGACTTAGAGATAAATCCAATGAAGAATGTGCAACATCTCTACAAAAAAAAATCTATAAATATAATTGGCAGAAATAAACACCTAAATAAATGGAGGAATATACTATGTTCACAAGAGGAAATCTCAATATTGGAAATATGTCAACTCTCCCAACTTGATCTATAGATTCAATGCAATCCCAACAAAACCCCACAGGGCTATACATTAAAAGGATGAATTGTACTGTATGTTAATTATACTTTAAAAAAAGGAAGAAGAAAAAAATCCCAGCAAACATTTTTGTTTTATTTTCTTTGTCCTTAGCAGAAATTGACAAGCAGAGTTTAAAATGTGTATGAAAATAAAATGTAAAAAGGCCAATCTTAAAAAGAAAAACAGAACGAAGGAGGAATACCTGCTCTACCTGATATCAAGACCTATTATAAAGTTGTAATAGTTACAACTAGACAAATAGACCAATGGAACACAGAGTCCGGAAGCAGCTCTCACATACAGACACTGCTATAGACGTTCTTGTACCTTTCTCCAAAGAATGTGAGGAAAAGATGCTGAGCAGGGAAGAAAACGGATGATTTTCCCCATGTAGACACTATAGGGACAACAGAACATACATGTGGAAAAAACTGAAATTTTTTTATGTAGGTTAAATAATCAAATGTTACAAAATAAAACTTCTAAAACAATGCATCTTTTACTTTACATTACTAAGGCCACTAGCCTGGTTATGACTCTCAACACTTCGCTTAAAGACTACCATTTCCCAAGAGTAATTACAGGAAGAATTATAAAAGTGGTAGGTTCTTTAGAACAGTGGTTTTCAAAGTTTTTTTTTTTAACCACAACCCACAAAATTATATTTAAATCATAACACACACACACCCTCTAGACATGTAAATTTATAAAAGTTCCACAAAATACTTTTTAGATTTACAATATAAGCTGGTTCCTGGTTTTTCTTTTTTTCTCTATTACATGCTTTAAATTCTGTCCAGAGTCACCAAAATGATTTCATAAGCCATTAATGGGTCACAATCCACAATTTGAAAAATATTGCTTTGGGATACCTATGACTTCAGTCTAGGATGGAACAGTAAACTCTTCAGAGAGCATTTTAAGCTAGGATTTTTAAGTAAGACATATAGTAGGGTAGAAATATTTAGCTGTAAAACTGGTTTGCCCAAGGCACGTGTTTATAATAAACTAGTGACTGGTGCACGGATTCGTGCACATCAAAAGGAAATTAATTAGAAGGTGGCCAGCAGGGCGGGACTGGGTGAGATGGGCTGGACATACCCTGGAGCCAACCTCCCACAGTCCTTCAGCTCTCCGACATCCCCCGAGGGGTCCCGGAGTGCGAGAGGGCACTCTGCAAAGTTGCTGTCGTACAGGGTGTGAAACACAAATGCAAGTGTGCAGTAAACCAGATTCGGGGCCGACAGTGCCCCAGCAACAACATAACCCACAGCCAAAGGTGGAATCATGTAGCGCCTGAAAGGAATCGGGCTCCCTCCTCTCTGGTTTCGGGGTACATCACCCAAGAACCGCCACTGCCAAGTCACTGCAGCTCGGCAGCTCCTGTGTTGAATCTGCCCCCTGGTGGTCAGTGTGCGTCATAGCGACCAGTCGGAAAGGTGAAGGGACACTTAGCATATTAACCTTTTATATATATAGAGGCCTGGTGCACGAAGATTCGTGCACGGGGGGGTTGGGGGGGGCCCCTCAGCCCGACCTGCACCCTGTCCAACCTGGGAGCCCTTAGGGGAGCCCTCTCCAATCCGGGAGCCCTGACGGCTTAGGCCTACTCCTCGTGGTTCTCTGCTCTCTGTGGGGTCTGGCCACTCTGCGCCTGCTGCCCCAGAGGCTCTCCGCTGCCTCAATCTTCTAGTTTTGTTATGAGAAGCTTTTCCTTACAAAAGACAATTTTCTTGTATCTCCATTTTCCCTCTTCATGTTCTTCTCTCAGCTCAGCTGAAGACCCTTCTCCTGCACAGAGGCCCTCCGCGGGCGGGGTGGAACGCCTGCGTCGTCGCCATGGCAACAATGCAAGTGTCCTGGCCGCTGCCATCTTTGTTGCATCAATTTGCATATTCCTTCCTTATTGGCTATGGGCGCTTCCATCTTTATCGCGGAGTGATGGTCAATTTGCATATTCCCTCTTTATTAGATAGGATTATATATACAGATGGCAACACCAAGATTAACCCTTTTCGGTCCAACATGGAGGCTGACTCGACAGACCAGGCGCTAGGAGCAGGTCCAACGTTGAGGCTGAGACACCACAAACCGATTCAACATTCAATCCCGTCAATTAATTTGGCCCAGACTGTTTGAATTCCAAAAATAAAATTGGACTGCAAAGGGTTAAAGCTGAGGTGCTTCACCATTCTATGGCTAATGATCTTTCCATTATACAAAAGTTTTTCATCAACACACACACACACACATATGAGAAAAGGACAATAATTCTGTCATAAGCCAATTCATCTTCATGGAAATTAAGAGAAGAAAGATTTTTATGCATGTTATGTGTATATGTACACATTTTTTTGGTACTTATTTTATAAGTAGCAATTGTGGTAGCAACTGCTTATGGAAAAGGCTGATTGTTGTTATATTAAGTTTAATTGTTATTATATACTGTACTAGAGGCCCGATGCATGAAATTTGTGCAAGAGTAGGCCTTCCTTCCCCCAGCTGCCCGCACCAGCTTCCCTCCAGCCGCCGGCAGGCACCTGGGACCCGGCCTTCCCTCTGGCCGCTGGCAGGCACCCAGGACCAGGGCTTCCCTCACACAGGGAGGCCCCGCCCACCTGCCACAGCCTGCCAGTCAGTAGCCTGGGCCTCCCTCTTTGGGGAGATTGTGGAGCCCCCCGATGGATCATCCCACTGGCCTGTGGCCTGGGCCTCCCTCTGCGGGGCGATCATGGGGCGATGGCCGGGCCCCTGACCAATCGCATCGCACCCGCCTTGGCTGGCCTGGCACCAGTGGGTGTCATAGCGTGGTCCCGATAGTCGTCCAGATGGTAGTCCGGATGGCCGTTCTGCTGTTTGGCCGTTCAGTCAATTTGCATATTATGCTTTTATTATATAGGATACCTTCATCAAAATATTAATGTTTTTCTTTTCCTCCAGAAGCTGATATATTGTATTAATTCTGCATAAAATTTTTCATTAAAAAGTGACATGGAGAAACACATTCCCCCTTTGAAGAACATAAACAATATGCCAGCCTCAAAACTAGTTACATATTGAGTTTATTAAATACTTTGAGGGAGACACAGAGTAAAGTGCCAACTTCTTTCCATTACAAAGTTTATATTCTGATACTTACGACAAAATAATTCCATTAAAATTACAATATGACTAAAAGATATTAAAATCTTTTATATTATTGAGAGTTCTATACAGCTATTATAGAAATGACTTACGGTTGCATCGTTTTTGTACAAATCGTAATTTGCAAGCTGTTCTGTAAGTTGACAGTCGTATAACATCAAAATTCTGAGCACCTGAAAGAAGGGTAAATAAAACATGTTCAAGTGGACTTACTGGTTAATTTCTAAATGCTGGGAAGAGACTCCATTCCATTGTGTTGGCACAGACTGCATATAACTTGCCAACTGAGTCTTCTGATAGAGCACAAAGGCAGAAGGAAGGGTTAGGGTACACTTCCTGTGTGCCCACTCCTATCTGCTAGCCTAAGAAAGCTCTGAGGCGAGGAACACTCATGATGTGCGTGAATGGACTATATATATTCGGAAGTGGGGATAAGGTGGCATAGTGGGAAAGACCCCAGCGTAGAGTCAGAGACGTAAATTCCAGCCCCGGCCTGACTGCCAACCACAGAACATGACCGTCGCCACGTCACATCCCTCTTCTCAGGCTCAGTGTCCTCCGCTGTAAAATGAGGGAACTGGACCAGCTAATCCCCGAGTTCCCCGTCCAGGTCTGTGGCATCACAGAATTTCCAGTGCACTGTCCCTCCCGATCTAGAACTAAAGAGTCTTCCCCGCTACTTGCATCTGAGCAGGTTACCGTGCCCGCCTGAGTGAGTACTGCGGCAGACGTGACTGCATGACGTCTGACGATGGGTGACAAAAGGTGGCCAGCTTGCCCCTGCTCTCACGCTCTCGGGATGCTGGCCCTGGGAACCCAAACTGGCTTTCCCTCTGTGAAGGGACCTCGGGGGCCATCCCAGGCTGGGCTCCTGCCTCCCTCTCCAGCGTCAGCTGAGCAGTACCGTTTTATAATAGTCAAATGCTTTTAAAAGGTTTCACAGTCACTGGCCCAGACCAGGAACCCTATTTCCGGCAGAAGAATTTGAAGTCCTGCAAGTATGTGTGCATTAGTCAAGGTCACTCAGTCAAGGTCACCGAGACAAGAAGTCACAAAGCAAACCACCCTTCCAATACTGTGGACTGCCCTACTCCTCCCAGCCATCTTGTTTCTTTGTTCAGTCTTACATAATAATGTAATTTTTAAAAAAATATATTTCTTTATTGATTTCAGAGAGGAAGGGAGAAGGAGAGAGAGTTAGAAACATCGATGAGAGAGGAACATCAATCAGCTGCCTCCTGTACCCCCCGTGCTGGGGATGTGCCCGCAACCAAGGTACATGCCCTTGACCGGAATCAAACCTGGGACCCTTCAGTCCACAGGCTGACGCTCTATCCACTGAGCCAAGCCAGCTAGGGCATAATGTAATTTTTAAAAAATATGTCTTATTGATTTTTTACAGACAGGAAGGGAGAGGGATAGAGAGTTAGAAACATCGATGAGAGAGGAACATCAATCAGCTGCCTCCTGTACACCCCGTGCTGGGGATGTGCCCGCAACCAAGGTACATGCCCTTGACCGGAATTAAACCTGGGACCCTTCAGTCCGCAGGCCGACGCTCTATCCACTGAGCCAAACCAGTTAGGGCAATAATGTAATTTTTAACAGAAGATTTAATATTGTATAGTAAAGTAATATACCAAAGTACACATTCATGCTATTAATTTTTCCTCTTGCTCTAAGTGTTGGTCTGACACTAAGTCTTCTCTACCTCCGAATTGGTATGTAGTGCAAGGTAATTTATATGACGTATTAATTATGCATCAGCACCTGCAAGCTCACGGTAACCACGGAGTTACAGCAAGAGGTCTAAATTGGCGGGCATGCCCTGATCTTACAGACATGCTAGGTAACACCTCTGCCTCATTCGTTATGGCCTGGCTTCAGAAAGCAGTTCAAATCAATTCAATTAAAATAATAAGGTCTGTCTTGGGGTCCTCCAACTCCATGATTCTTTAACTCTCATTCTTCCCTTTCTAAAGCCTGTAACTTAAAACTTCTGATTAAAGTTGTGACTTGATCAGAACAGAAAGAGGGAAAAGCATTCCCACGCGTATAAACAAGGACGCCAGAAGCACTCAGGACTCACGCATTTCTATGAACAGCTGCCTCTTCTCCGCCATCGTCTTCCGCTTATTCCCACTTTCCTCAATCATCCTAGGGACAAAGAAGGACACCATAAAGCACCATATAGTTTGACAATTCAACCAAGTGCTTATCATTCTATTGTGAAGAGAGAGCCGCGGGACATCAAGTGGTAAATGCACATACTAAGAGAGTATCAGTGAAAATGAACTGGAACCTGATACCAAAAGAGGTAAATCCTTATTTCTCTATTTGATAATTTCTAAAATATTAAAAGTCAATACTTAACTGAGCTCATACACGCCTCCTGTGCTGAAAATTTGGGCTATATCTTATTTCTAATTTTATTTTCTCTGCACAGTCCTCTATTAGTTGAGATACAGTTTCCCATATCCCTACTGTTTTTCATGAACATGTTACTAAATATAATTTAGAAAATAATTATAATGAAAGGCTACAATAGAGAACATAAAAACAGTGAGCTTATACACAAAATATATAAATAAAATATATTTTTATGTTTAACAAAATAAAGAGAGAAATTCACCCCCACACTCAACTCTTAAATGCAACTTTTATCACCTGATAACAGTAGTTTACACTGACAGGCTATGTCAGTGACTGTTAAAACTCTCTCCATGAATTATTTCATTTAATACTCCCTTCAACCCTAAGTGGTGGTATTATAACTATTACACTATCCCCATTTTATTGATTAGGAAACAGATGCCTAGAAAAGAACAGTAACTTGCTCAAGGGCACACAACTCAGAAGTGGTAGAGTAGAACCTCAACCCTTTCATTAAACTTCTTAAGAACTGTGTTTCTTAGAGGATATTTTCAAATATCTAGGCCTAAAAAGCTAGAACACAAACAGCCCATTGCATGGACCCTATTGATGCAAAATTTGTGACAATTTTAGCTGAACTTTGCCTTATTCTATGAAGAAAAATATGTAGACAAATAGCATAAGCCAAATAATTTCCCTAAGCAGATGACACTTTTGTAAATCATTCTCAAATGTTAGTCACAAATTAAATAAATGATGACCACACAAATCCCATAGCCACTAAAGCAAAGTGACTGAAAAAAGTTTAGTTGTAAATATATCCTAAAGAAAGTTTAAAATGAAAAAAATATTCCTTAATATCCTGCAATTAATATTTTGATAATTAAGACTGGTTCTTTTCCAGATCACTGAAATGTTACCAAATAGGCTGCAACACACGTGATGGTTTCTTAATAATTTGCCCCCAAAGGGAAAGAATCCTATCTAATAATAGACAAACATGGTAATTGACCGTACCTTCGTTACGTCTCCCATTGGCTAATCAGCGTGATATGCAAATTAACCACCAACAAAGATGGCGGTTAATTTGCATAAGTAGGCGAGAAGTGGCGGAGCGAAGACTGAAGGTGGCTCTGGCCCGAGCAGTGAAGGCTTAAAGGTGGCTCCGGCTGGAGCGAAGGCCTGGGTCCCGGGTGCCGGAGGAAAACCAGTGCCGGCAGCCAGGGGAAGGGAAGGCCTATTGCACGAATCTTTTTGTGCAACAGGCCTCTAGTTTTAAATAGAAAGAAAATTAAAGAAAAAGCAACCAGAAACAGAAAAAAAAAATCTAATAAAATCTAGGTCCTAGAGAAAAAACAGGAGTTGGTACTAGCCTGTGATTTCAAAGAAAAATATATATATATTCAAAAACCTGCTCCCTCCTCTCCAATCTTGGTCTCTCACTAAATAATGCACACAGACTAACACAGAAAATATCATAATGCCCTTTATAATATATCTCATTTATTATATCCTTTTTCCATTTTTGCTATTTCTTTACACCCCTTTTTCTCAAAATAGGGTCTAAGAAGTCCCTGAGATCCCTAAATTCTTTATGGCAATTTTTTAAAATTCTGTCATTACTTTCAGATTCATTTTGAAAAAGTTAATACAAACATATTCTGGATCATCTCGATGGCCACCAAACTACAAGCACTGCTAGGCCATTTCGGGCACACACATCTGCACGTGGGGCTCCTGCAGCATTGGCAGCAAGAGACCACCGAAAGCAGGAAGACCAACTAGAGAAACTATCCTACCCTCGGCCAGATCCGACCTGCCGCCTGTTTCTGCAAATAAAGCTTTACTGGGACACAGCCATACCTATTCATTTATGTATCATCTATGGATGTTTTCATGCTACAATGGCAGAGTCGAGTAGCTGCAACAGAGAGCACCTGGCCTGCAAAGTCTGAAGTAGTTGCTCTCTGGTCCTTCAAGAAAAAGCATGTCAACCCACCTAAAGCAACAGTAATTAATGCTGCATCGCCACACGTCTGGCTGCAACTGGACCAGCACGTCCCCTCAGTCAGAATGACAATGACCATCCCACATGGGCTGCGCTGCCATTCCAGTACCGCACGTCTATCCTTGAGGAAGTGCCTTCATCACGCTAAGGTTTATTCCTCGTTGCTGAAACAGCATAAAATTATACAGACTTCACGAACCAGTCATTTGACAAATATAAGCAGCTCTTAGATGGGAGACACAACTAGATGAACTAGAAACACTGCAGTGAACGAAAGAGACCAAGTCCCCTCACCTTCGTGGAGCTTCTTGTGACAGGATCAAACGCAGTCATTCGTGTACAGTGCCTGGCCTAAGGCAAGCTCAGGACTAATGGGAGCGGCTATTCTTATGATTACAACTATCAGCATTATCACTATTACTACAACGACGACGACACAGGTGGTTTATAAATCTAGAGGATTAATTACATCATTTGTAATTAATGACACCATGCTAGACATTTATTTCATATATTTGCTTTTAAGAAAATCTTTGGGCTTTTGAAATTTATAAAGCACAAAGTAAACATTTTAGAATTTTAATTATCTGTGCTCTATCCACTGAGCCAAACCGGTTAGGGCTTAGAATTTTAATTATCTAAACTGACAAAATGATGGTATCCTCATGTCCCACACACAGTTATTGCAAACCTGAATCAAACTATACCTGAAAACATGCATCAGAACAATCCGAGATAACAAATGAAAAGGTCATCACACTGATGAGCCAATAAGAAATCTGTTTTATAAGTCAGATTATTTTAATTATGTTATGGTTATTTAAACTACCCAAGTTTTAAAAACAAACAGTGGAATTTTAGTATATTTACATTTGACTAACACAAATTCAACTACATGAGAGAGAAAGAGAATTATTTAAACGATGGGCAATCCCACACCAGGATCACCTGTTCTAAGAGAGTGTGAGAAAGAAAGTGAATCTACAGCTTCCTGCGGTCTCGGCTCCCTCTGGCCTCTGACTGAGTAAGCACCCCTTTCCTTTTTTCTAAAAACACAATTCAACTAAAGAAAAAAGTTGCCAGTTCCAACATGAAGAAAAAACTAGCCGTGCTAGACCTCGAACTCCTTGTCTACGTTGACCCCCACCACGGTTTGTTCCTGAGGAAATTTCAAAAGGAATTTTTACCTACTTCAGGCACTCGCTGATTTCAGAATCTAACTCCCAAGTAAAATGTGACTCAGATGTACGAAAGATAATCAAGATCTGCCCAACCACAAGGATTTGATACTAATGTTTCAGAAACAATGCTTCTAAGTTTCAATTGCTTTAGGAAATCATATTCATGCAACGATTTTCTTAAAAGTTTGCAAAATTGTTCATACTATAGAAAAATCCTCAAAATTCAGAGCTTTCGCATAAGGCTAACCATAATTATAAAATAATTATGAAATATAAGCAACATGTCTAGCTACATAGTGCCAACAAAATTAAAATATTATATCCATATTGCAGTATCAATTTAACCATCATATATGTATATGACTGAAGATTAGAAATAAATTAAAAATGAAAATGCATTCATAAGGCATGGGTTTTTTCCCAAAAATTTTATTTTGTCACTGTATTGCCTGGCAGTTTTTAGAAAGTTGAATATGTTTGATGTTTGTACTTAAAAGTGTTTTAAAATCTCTAAATATGTTTCCTGGGAGACAGACACTCTTAGTAGTGAATATATACTTACTGACCCAAGTATTTTGGATGGCAATTTCTACCAAAATTTTAAATGTATGCTACCTTTGGCCCAGTAAATATGTCTGTTTATCTGTTTAAAAAGGAGAGGAGAGGGAAGGAGAGGAAAGGGTAAGGGGGGGAAACGGAAGCAGAGCGGACGCAGAAGGAAAGAAAGGGGGGATAAAACAGTGTCAAACGGCTTCAATACCTTATGGTACAGCCATACTATGAGAGTATAGTCCACAGGTACTAAAAAGAACGCGGTAGGTAAGTGCAATTTATGAAAAGATGGTCAAGACATGTAAGCCAGATGCAAGTAAGGGGACAGTACCACACTGTGGCAGACGCTGTTCCGGCCCTGCCAGGATACCCCTACCTGGCTGCCAGCTTCTCCCAGCCGCGCTCCTCTCTAGAGAATGACCTTCAGTTGAACACTCCTGAAGCAATGCCTGGGAACTAATTCACCCCCTACAGGGGCACCTGGTGACCGACAGACACGTAGAAAGCCCAGGCCCGGAAGTTCTGAATCCAAGTAAAATGGAGTGAGCACACACCAACCTTACTCTCCCACCGAATACTAAGCCTGCGGAGTGTGTGCTGGAGTTATCTGAGCTCTGTGAAAAGCAAACAGCAGCAGGTGGGCCAGGGAAGAAGACAGAATTCACAGTTCTACGGAACAGATGGCGTGTCTGCCATTTTTTCCCTCTCGCATCGCCTGGCTTGACCTCAACCCAGTACAAACCCCCAACCTAGGACTGTGATATATACACAGAGAAATCCTCAGAGCCCTCCCGTGCGAGCTCACAGAAAAGGAGAACCAAAACCCAGAGAGAACGAGAGACATTTCCCAGGTCGTCTTCTCTCTCTTTCCTTTTTCTTCATTTTCTCCCACCCCAGCCAGCAGGCAATCCCGCAGTGGCGGCGGAGGCAGTAGCAGCAAAGCCGCTGGCCTGGGAAACGGCAGAATTACAAAATGTGGAGGAAAGGAATCCTCTGTTGGTCAGCTGCAGCTCCAAGGGGGGCCCATGGGTTTATTCTCTCTCCTCTGCTGCTGCGGTGCCACTGCAGGAGGGGGAGTTTCTGGCCAGAGGACAGGAAAGGGAGTCCAGAGTAGCCCGACAGTACCAGGGCGCTAACCCAGCAGAAGCACAGGAAAGCAGCCCATGCAGCTGTTTGTGAAAGCCGGGACCTCCTCCAACCCGCACACCCAGGGATCTGATCGTCGCCAGCAGACCCACTAGCTCTGAAAGTCCATCTTGCAGAGAGACCTCCACAGTAAGTACGCTCTCCACTTCCTGCCACTGGGGCTCCTGGCACGTTGCCTTTTCTTGGCCTCACAATCTAGAGATAACCAAACCTCCTATCATTCCCTTCACATACCAGCTCTGACTTCAAACCCTGCATTTCCTTCCTCATAATCACTCTCATATCCACCCTTTTTTCCCATTTCAACTGCCAAAATCTTTGTCCGCGCGAATGAACAAATGAAATCCTCTGACGCCATGGTCTCAGGACTCTGTGCCCCCTTCTTCCTGTCGTTCATCCTGTGGACACACAGAAATCCACGAGGTGTATTTATTCAAACAGGTTCGATCTCCAATGGATCCTAATCACCCTACTCAGAAGCTTCATTCCACACAATAAAAAAAAAAAAAGCAGAGCACAAAGTGAAATATTCCAGAGAAAGACAAATATTGTGATCCCACTCATAAGTGGAATCTAATTATACACAAAAAAGAAAAAAGTCAAACTCATGCTGGAAGCAGAGTAGAATGGTGGTAGCCAGGAGCTAAGGGGTGGGGAAAATTGAGAGATGTTGGTCAAAGGATACAAACTTTTAGTTATAAGATGGGAATTGAATGTACAGCTTGGTGACTATAGTGGATAATACCATACTGTATACCTGAAATTTGCTAAGAGAATAGATCTTAAACATTCTCAATATACACACACTCAGGTGACTATGTGATGTGATGGGTGTGTGAAAAAACAAAACTATAGAAATGGCAAAATGATCCGTAATCAACAGAGATTTAGGGGGAAGGGAAGAGGGGTGATAGATGAAGCGCAGACTTTTGGGGTGGTGAAACTTCACTTTAATAGTGGATACATGACCCTATGCATTTGTCAAACCAACAGAAATTTACAACACAGAGTGAACTTAATGTGTGCAAATTTTTATTAAATCCTTTAGGACGTCAGCGGATCCAAGGATGAAATGCAGAATGTGACAAAACAATCTAACTATGTTACAAATGTCTGAAACAACCTCACTGAAGAGGGGGGTGGGGGGGGGGGATGGAAGTGACTTTGGAAATGAATGGTGTCTGTAAGACTAAAAGCAAAACAAAATATACCTACGTACTATACTCTAGTTTCCCATCAGTCATATGGTACCAATTCTAATATAACAATTACATAAAGAGATGGCATTTGGAAGAGTGTGAGGTTACAGAGAAGCAAGATGAGAAGCTAGAATGATCCATGTGGTAGTGGATTACAGTTGCAGACATCAGTATAAGATCATGTTTCTCTTAATACAGATACAGATAGTTACATACAGAAGTAATTATAGATATGTGTATATGCATGGGTTAGTATATACACATATGCCCTTGCTCTGTCAACTGAGATGTAGAAACAACAACATCCCTAGCCGTAATGAGTATATACCTAATGCCCAAATGTTGGTTTGTAATACCTGAACTATATGTGATGAACATACCTAGCCCAAATGTTGGTTTATAATACCTTTCTCCAACAAAATGAGTGAAGCAGGAAACATACAAGATGAGCCTGGAACATCTTGTAATATAGGAAGTAAAGAAGTTTGGGGAGAAAACTAAACCATATGATATGAGTATATAAAAGGGACACAGAAGCCAACTGAAAGCTCCCAGTAGCCAAAGTTGGAACAACTTCAGCAACAAAATAAATAAGGCAGCATCGCATACCCACCCGTCAGTCCTGATATGAATGAGTGAATATATTGAATATATTAACAAATGGAGAGCAAATACCCTGTGAAGAATTCCAAGTAATTTATGTCGATACTCAGCCCTGAAGAAAGTGAAGCACAACTCCCACTCCTTACGTGTGGGCTGCGCACAGGGACTTCCTTACAAAGACACAGCATGGGGGGCGGGGGGGGGGGCTTTTTTCGCGAAATAACTGGATGGTGGAGAAACCTGGTCAGCACTACCTCAGCCAGTGCAAGTTCAACATCAGCAGGTAAGTCATGCTGACGGTACACATCCTTGACACGATGTGATGAAACGGCATTTTACTGCTGTTGTCTTCCTCCCCCAAACCGATAAACCCAGTTTAATCCCGAGA